AAAAAAAAGAGCTGTGCCATATTTTATTATTTTTCTGGTTGGTACAATTATTCTTCTTTTTCCGTATAATTAAGTCATTTGTCAACTATCTTTTTTTTATAAAAGAGCTCGATATAAAAATATACTCCCCAGTTAAGTACTTTGTTTTAAGTATGTGTGAATATCCTATAAATAATTTAATCACAAATTGTTATTATCCTAAATGGCTGAATTGCCATTGGTAACGAAAAAGAAAAATAGTTCGCAGAATATCTTCTCAAATTAAGAATTTAAATATGTCAACTAGCTATCCCGCGGTGATAAAGGAGACGGCGAGTGACGTTCGTGCATTCACGAACGACGGCTGATCATAACAGGTAGTTATCGATAATTATCAGGACGCGCAAGCAAAACCTCTAATCGGATCAGATTATTCACAAGCCGGCCTTGACATTACGAGACACAAACGAGATACTCCTCGATCAGTTCGTCAGAGCATCAACAGATAATCCCCGATGCGCTCGATGACGTTGATCAATTAAATGCTACGACGAGCGTCCACGGTTGTGTCTCGTTAACGTCGCGTTTGTGTGAACGTGGCCGCATATCGACCAGTCGGCCGGAACGCTGGACGACAGTTCGCAATTACAAGCGATTCGCCCCGATAGAATTGATATTTAATAAGTTAGACTGTCGAAATTGAATCAAAGCGCTGGTTGGCCGGCCGACGCCGACCACGAAACATCGAGGCGAGTTTTTAACTCAATTAATCTTGAGCTCGATCCTTCTGCACCAAGAGCGCGGCTCTCGTTTTACTTGGTTGTGTGTTTTTCCGGACCGCCTTTCGAGCTCGGTGAAAATGGCGACCCAAATTTTTCAAGTCTTTCAACGCTTGTTGTTTTTAATTAAATTAATTAAATCGAATTAAATTAGGATTTTAGACAGCTGTTGAATTTTTGCGCGCTTTTATCCGCTTTTATCGTTTTGGCTCCGATTAACTATTCCTTTTTTAATCTCCAAATTTTTTATTTTAATATAAATCACGTATCTAAAACAGTACTGTTGCACTATAGGTTATATTACAATACAATAATATTACAGAAAAATACCTTCCTTTCGAAGATCTCTTATATTCTTTTGTTCCCAAAGCACATTCCCTCATTTCTCCTCTATCATCGACATTACAATTGTTCTAAGATCTCGGAGAGCTATTTGTGTTCACGACCGTTGGCGTTTAATGACAGCCGTCGCGGATCATCCGCCCTAACATGCGAATGGGTGGCGAAAGGCGGAATTAGACGTAGCAATCGGCCAGCCGAAGGCTAGATTAATTCGCACACATCAGAACGAAATTACGCGCGCGGCTAGCACGATAACACTTAATTAAGTGGTTCTCCTCGCGCGTTTCGGATTTCTCATGCTAATACGATGACAATACTATCACCGGCGGCGCATGAAAACGGTATGCGGCTGACCGTGCGCGCTCGGATGTGCCGAATGCGAAGATGTTGACTACGACCTGGCCACGCGATATGCAAAGCACGAGAAACGATATGAGAGGGAAAGAGGAAGCTCTATCGTGGCTCGTATAGCTGCCTGTAGCGACGAGCTTCCGAGTCCCTGTCTTGAAAATTTCTGAGCTCAATTAAACGAATACCAGAGTCGAAATTGTCATCCCACTTTCGATCTCAGTATTCCATTTAATCTCTATTTTGATATTTCAAAGTTCATACCAACCTTTTGATTCTATTTAACCTACTAGCTTTGCCGAGAAGTGCTCTTTAGAATCTGCAATTGACATTTTGTGTGTGTTCCGCCATTTAGAGATGCTAAGTAGAATTTCAGTTTCCATATGTATTACATATACACTGCTCCTTCAGAATATACAGATGTTAGAAAGTTCAAGGGAGTCTAGAATAGAGTTGAAATTTCGATTCGGACTTCGAGCATTATTTGAAACTGCGAATTACACTTTGAGAACTGATTTCGAAAATAACCGAGGCTATTCTTCAAAAGTACAGATTTCTATTCTGAATGAATAATTAATATTTAAAAATAGTTAAATAAGATAGTTTAACTGTTCTCGAAGCACATGTCGGATGTGAATTATATTTCGAAATGCTTCTCGAGGAGATTCGACGTACCTTGAGTTCATCACGCTGCTTGTCAGTAGAAAGCCAAACTATAACTCCGACATTTCCCACGACCACCCCTGCCCTTTCGATCGTCGTCATGCCCCTGGCTACGACCCTTACGCTACGCCCACGTCGTTCCATGACACGACCCCGAGTCATTTCGCCGGAGTAAGATGAGCGCGAAGATTGTCGAGAGAGGCGTTACTCTCGCTTGCTGAACTATACAACACCGGAATGAAGCACGCGAGATGAATCTACCGGGGATTAGGTTGCTTGCATTCATCCTACTTTCACTTGAATCTACTCCCAACCTTACTTTGCCCTATGCGATTCCATAGCTCGGGAATAACGAGATTACAACGTTACAATTCGCACAGATACGATCATAGTTTAAACAGCTAATTAAGTCGCTTATTAACTACCTCTTTTTCAAATAAGACATATTGACACAAAAAATATAATCCCCAGACAAAATTAAAATACTTTATTCTAAATTATTGTTATTCTAAATGACTGGATTGCCGAAAAGAAAGAAGAAAAAGAACGAAACAAAAAAGAAAAATAGTTTGCAGAATATCTTCTCAAGAGTCGGTTGCGCTGTGTAACTCAATCTTGATAAGTTTTTGACGAAAAAAAAAAATTATTCTCCATCTATAGTTTTATCCCGAGATTCGTCCATAATACGTAATCGACAACGAATTGTCTTAACGTTATGCCATAAAATTGCTCTTTCGGGGGGAAAAATGGTGAAACCGAGAGGAATGGTGAAACAGACGCACGTGAGGTTGCGAGGAGCTGAACCTGAATTTTTTATCCTGACCCACGGTGGGGAGTCTATGGAATTACGAACGTTAAAATGCGTCATTATCGGCAAATCTGTCCGTTTTATCCCATCCGCCCCGTTATATCCCTTCGGCTCGTTAAAACTTCCACGAAGTCACGTTGCTCCGCTCGCGCAAATAGCGCGGAACGAGTAAACTTTCAACTTTCCCCGCGCGCACTTTCGACAGCAGGTTTTCCGATCGCTTCTGGTAATCCGGCATTATTAATTTCTACCAACCCTAACGAAAAATTTGATTTCCACAAACACGCTGAAGATGGATATGCGACACGCAGATTTATTCGCAGCGTCGTCGGAATAAATAGATTTCACGTTTGAATATTCGCAACATTTGAATGTACTGCAGATTTTATTCTACAGCTACACTTTGACTTCTTTTAAAAAACTCGTTGAATCTCTCTTAATCACGCAAAAATAAGTATTTTTTAAAATTATCACTACTATATTGTAAAAAAAATAAACAATACAATATAAAAGATATTCCTAATCTAATTTTCTCGACAAATTCGTGCAAAGTGTTAATAAATTCGGCAACGATAGCTGTGACTATTTTACTCTTATTAATTTATACGTAAATCTTTGTAGATAGCAACGTACTGCTGGTTCAGAAAGAAATCGAAATAGTTAATCTCGTGAGTGTTCCGATTGCGCAAAAATAGGAAATCTATGGGAGAGGGAGGAGGTACATACGCCTAAGGAAATCCGCGCACGATATACGTAAGATCGAACTAAGGGTAGAACGAGGTCTCTTAGGTCGTTCCCTTGCCAAGTAATTCCCGGGGCTTTCGCGCGGACACGTCACGCGAGTTCTCGTCCATTAGAACCCGGTGGGATCCGCAAAGGATCGGTAGACATACCCGGCAATAACGGGAACGTCCATCGAATCCGCACGGCTAATGGCGCGAGAGTTTATCCAGATGTTGCGAAATCCTTAGAGCCGATAGCTCTCAGAATTGGCTCGGCCGCGTCGGGCTGTACTTTCGTCGAAAGGCGCTTAATCGCTGAATACAACGAGACATGACATTGAACAACTCTGTCAGCGTGACTGGATTAAGAGGGTGAACGTGGGTAGGCATGCTCCCGCTAAATGAAGTGACTAAACACCGCGGATTCTAAACTTGTTTCCAAGGCTCTTCGTTTTCACCATTGTTTTCACCATTTCACGCTCTTTATCCGTAGCATTCCGATGGAATTGCATGAATCTCAACCGACGCTTGCCCCGGAAAAACATTTCTACGATTATGTGCGATGATACTACAAAGATATCGCGTGCAGAGAACTAATCGTCGAGATCACACTAAGTGACATCGACGATTTTATAACACATCTTTGTGCGCTTCAGTATCAGTTTTCCTCGAATCTGTTATTTCCCATATCGTGTTTAGTCGGATCAAAATGAGAAAAGAGTACCGACAATCGGATAACGGTAAATTACAAACTTTACCCGCGCTCGTGCGTGTGTTACGCTCACTAATGCGACATTGTTAGCCTAACAATCGGCGCAATTGCCGCTTGCATTTACAACGCCAGCGTGGGCGTTAATTATTTTCCTAGAGCCCGCACCGACTTTCAGCTCTCTCTCTCTCTCTCTCTCTCTCTCTCTCTCTCTCTCTCTCCCTCTCTC